TTTATGAATATCTGAAACACTGCATGTGTGAAAAGAGAGGGAGAAAACTGTGAGGTCAGGTATTTGCTGATCTTTAAAGTTTAAAATCGACACATTCCCACAGACCAATCAGATACAGGATATGAGGACTTATTCACCAGGTGGCCTTTATGACAGGAGTGGAGTTTGGGCTCCAGCTGAGCCTGATACTGAGGTGGACAACTCCAACATAGCTGATAAGCTGTGGAGTGGGAAAAGGAGTACTACGGTTCACCCTGCCCACATACTACATACATACCGTGGCCCAGTGCTGGATACACAGCCACAGACAGGTTTCTATGTTTTGTCCTGGTTTGGAGACAGCATGCTGTCGTCTGAGCAGAGGAGCCCTGAGGCAATCTCCTCAACACCAAGTTATCCTGCCCATCAATGAGGTCATGTTGCTGTTTCAGGCCTTCATCTGGATTCCTGCTGATTTAAAGTCTCTGTAGGTTCATGTGAAATAAAGATCTGACATGATAACCTGGTGTTATGTGGACTGAACCAACAATCCAGCAGAGGTCAGGTAAGCAGGGCAGTGTGGCAGCCATCACTCCTGAAGTGGACACTAAACAGCTCCGTGTGGACTGTGATGAACCAGTACTCAGAGCTTCTAATGACACAAACAGAAGTCTGCATTATGGATCTGCTGCTTTCACAGGACAACAGCAGAGAGCTGCACAGCAGGATTATTCTGAGGCCACGAGGATCACAGAGGAAAACAGGACATGATGTATGTAAGTATAGCGGAAAAAGCTCAGTGTGGTCATCACCAGGCACCACTGATAATATTCTTGTTATGCAAAGAAAATGACTTCAGTAAAAGCAAATATAACTCTCAATTATTAAACATAAGCTGTTAGTTTTAACTGATGAGGTTACAGTGAATGTAGTGGGATTTATTTATTTTTATTGTCAGCACAAACTGTTTTAATCTGATCAGATTTATCTTGTTAAATCGGTGTAGAGGAGAAAGATGTTTTTGTCTGTGTGCAAACAAATTCACATTTTAATGTGTGAGACAGTTTGTTTCAGCAGGCTCTGAGGCATTTAATGAACCAAAGGACAGAAACAAAGTGTAGACATACATGCCAAAGTTTCTGTCAAACTTTTTAAATTGGTGTCTGTGAAGGTTCTCAGTCATCCAGGTCATCGTAGTC